GACGATATATTAATTTTTTCAAAATCACTTAGTGAACATTGGAAACATTTAACTGCATTCTTTTACACAATTAAAAGTCATGGTCTTGTTATTTCTGCTCCTAAAATTAAATTATTCCAAACTAAAGTTCACTTTTTAGGGTATGATATTCATCATAATACTATCCTACCCATTAGTCGATCCATTGAATTTGCCTCCAAATTTCCTGATGAAATCCTTGATAAAACTCAATTACAACGGTTCTTAGGTTCCCTCAATTACATTGCTGAATTTTATAAAGACCTTAGGAAAACTTGTCAACCTCTATTTGATAGGTTAAAGGATAATCCTCCTCCTTGGTCTTCTGTTCATACTTCTATTGTCCGACAAGTCAAACAATATGTCAAGTCCCTTCCTTGTCTTGGTATTCCCACTGAAAATTCATTCAAAATTATTCAAACTGATGCCTCCGACATTGGTTATGGTGGCATTCTACTTCAGCAACTTACTCCTCAATCATTTGAACAAATTGTTCGCTATCATTCTGGTGTCTGGAATAAAGCACAATTCAATTATAGTACTATTAAAAAAGAAATTTTATCTACTGTTTTATGTATTCAAAAATTTCAAGATGATATTTTAAATCAAAAATTCTTACTTCGTGTTGATTGCAAATCTGCTAAATATGTTCTTGAAAAAGATGTTCAAAATCTTGCTAGTAAACAAATTTTTGCTCGTTGGCAAGCTATTTTAAGTATTTTTGATTTCGATATTACCTATATACCTGGTTGTCAAAATTCCCTACCTGATTTTCTTACCCGGGAATTTTTACAGGGGGGGTAAGGGATGACTACACCATTTACTGCTTACCATAAATCCCGAATTACCTATTTCAAAACCCTCATTAATCAACTTACTCATCGCATTCACCGCCTCAAATTAGCTCGACCAACTACCAAAAGAGCCCAATACATCAATTACCAACAGATTCAAGCTCGCCGCAATTTACTTGCTCACAACTACAATTGTTTACATCATCATCAAGATTATTTAGATCTTCTTTCTGGTTGCTAATCACTGTCTATTCTTTCACAGATGTCTCGCCCAAAGCCTCCTTCCAAGGCTTTGGTCCCATCTTCCAGCAAACCAAATCAACTTATTGTCCCTCCTCCTTTGGAGTCAATCACCCCATCCTATTCACTTGATATGGCTAATCGTTACCAAGCTCTTGGTAACCTTTGTCGCCCTGATTACTCTACTGCATTGGCTTCTGATCCTTTTGCTCCTAGTCAATCAGTTTCAGTCACTCCATTCCCAGCTAACCCAGTCCGGTCATCCAAAACTGAATACACCAAATCACATATTACCAACTTATTCTATAAAGAACCCAGTCACCCAAAGAGCCAAATCCTTAATGACATTGCTAAATCCTATTTTGGTCCTGGATGCCATTTCACCCTTTCACATCTAGAGAAAACACTCTCCTACTACAAAGATATTTTGCTTCATCATCAATCAATCCTGATCAAACCAATCCAAGATCGCACTTATGCTTATAAGATTCTATACCATTCCATTTACATTCACAACATTGTTTCTTTAGCTGAATGGGGTCCTCCATACCAGCTTCGTGATTTGCTTGGTCATTCTATTCAGTATAATTACCATGATTACATTGATGCCTGGTTCAAGATTTTCTTGTACCAGAATGAAACTTTTAGTCATTCTTGGTTCATTTCATTTGATAAAAAATTCAAGTCTGAATTACCTTCTTGGTTTCTGAGATGGTGGACTCACTATGGTGCCATTCCAGATATCCTCCCTGATAATCTGCTTGAATTAATCAACTATTTTGCTGCTGTTTACCCATTCACCACTCATCAGAGATCATTCCCACTATTGTTAATTTTTATAGCCAAGTATAAAATCCCTTGGATATTTAAATGGCATTATGGGATTGATGGTGACATAATTATCGGACATCACTCAGTCAAATGGTGGGCTAAATTCAATTTGCCCCGCATATTTGAAATTGTTCATGAAGAATTTCCATCTGATCAATGTGATCCAACCCCTGCAATGGTCAAAGCCCAGCAGATCCCAACTGTTGCAATCAGTCAAAGAAGTCAGCCCAGCCTTCCTCCAATCAATCTTGGAAGCCCCTCATCCAGTGGTTCCAAGCCCAAATCCAAAACAGTTCAATCAACACATTCAAAATCAAAGGCTAAGACCAAAGCTTCTACAGCTTCGGCCCAGCCCAAAGACCAGTCCAAATCCAAATCCAAAGCTACAGCTCAGCCCATTTCACCTCCTGCTCAGCCCAAAGCTAAATCAAAGGTCAAGCCCAAGTTATCCAGAGAAGAACTGCTCCAATTAGCAAGACAAATTACAGATCAAGCTGAAGCCCAATCTGCTTCCAGTTCAGACCAGTCAGAAGAAGGTTCAGTCAGCATACATTCTTCTAAAGAATCAACTAATCAGTATTCAGGCCCAGAATTTCAAGATGCTCAGGACCCATTTGCATAGGATTCCCTATAAATACAAATTAGCTTCAATCAATACTCTTTTGAGAAAAGCTGCTAATTTATATTTATATTGATTCCTTTATTCACATGTTCCACCTAAAGTAGTGAATAGTAAAAGTTACTGTTCACTTTTACTGTTCACCGTCACTATTCACTCAATCAACTTTTGCTAAAGACTGCTCTGATGTGCAATCACTCCACCGAAAGCATCCGACAGCATCTCCTTTGCTGCATGATCTGCCAGCTGCTTTCAGAAGTCACATGCTCACTGTTCTGCTTTTATTCCTTTATATTGTAATCAATTGTAAGCATTCAGGCATTCGAAAAATTTTCTTCTCCTTCATTGTTGTAAGAAAAACCAGAGTGTTTTGAGAGCCTTACAAGCTTCCCCGTTGTACCCAATTCAAGATCCTTACAGTTGCTACAATTGTAATTGTAAGTTATTTTGAATGTTTATTATTTTGATATTGGGAATGATATATATGTATATAAAATAGAGTATCAGTGATCCCAATATTCAACCCACTCCTCAAATAAGATTTTGATAATTTCGATCCTGCTGGGCTGTTAGGAATAATTTCTAAAACAGTCCCATTAAATATTAGTTAATTATATTTACTAATATTTTAGAGGTTGGACCAATTGAATATTTTGCAAATCCTATAGCCATTTTCTTAATTTGAACTCCATATAGATCATTTTTAATTTTTGATTTTTTATGTTTTTTAATTGTTTTATATTAAAAAAATTTAGAATTAATATACTAAATAAATAAATTAACTGAATATGTATATAAAACAATTTAACTTTAGCCCATAAGCCTAAGTTTTTTTTATTGTGTGTTGTGTATTAAACTGAATATGTACATAAAAAAAGATGCAACTCATTGATCGGACAAGTTTCAAATGGATGAAATTAGATAATTCCACGGTTTTGGATCAAGTTTGTAGGGTCTATCTATTAAACTGAGTATTTTAGAAAAATCAAAAGATATTGGCAGTAGTGAGATTGTGTAAAAACAGATAGCTGACTGAGTGAGGGAAGAAGAAAACAGAGGAAGAGGGTGAGCCAGTTTGCTCGTAATCATTAAATTGGATTTTTTCACAAATTACCCAAAATAGATAAATAAATATATAAAAAAAATAAAAAATCAAGGAGCTAGTTTGCAATTGTCTCAGCCATGACATTTTGGAACATTTATATTGGAAGTATTATCCATTTCAAAATAAAATAAATATATGATGTAGAACAAGATTACAGATCAAGCTGAAGCCCAATCTGCTTCCAGTTCAGACCAGTTAGAAGAAGGTTCAGTTAGCATACATTCTTCTGAAGAATCAACTAATCAGTATTCAAGCCCAGAGTTTCAAGATGCGCAAGACCCATTTGCCTAATCAACATAGGATTCCCTATAAATACAAATTAGCTTCAATCAATACTCTTTTGAGAAAAGCTGCTAATTTATATTTATATTGATTCCTTTATTCACATGTTCCACCTAAAGTAGTGAATAGTAAAAGTTACTGTTCACTTTTACTGTTCACCGTCACTATTCACTCAATCAACTTTTGCTAAAGACTGCTCTGATGTGCAATCACTCCACCGAAAGCATCCGACAGCATCTCCTTTGCTGCATGATCTGCCAGCTGCTTTCAGAAGTCACATGCTCACTGTTCTGCTTTTATTCCTTTATATTGTAATCAATTGTAAGCATTCAGGCATTCGAAAAATTTTCTTCTCCTTCATTGTTGTAAGAAAAACCAGAGTGTTTTGAGAGCCTTACAAGCTTCCCCGTTGTACCCAATTCAAGATCCTTACAGTTGCTACAATTGTAATTGTAAGTTATTTTGAATGTTTATTATTTTGATATTGGGAATGATATATATGTATATAAAATAGAGTATCAGTGATCCCAATATTCAACCCACTCCTCAAATAAGATTTTGATAATTTCGATCCTGCTGGGCTGTTAGGTATAATTTCTAAAACAGTCCCATTAAATATTAGTTAATTATATTTACTAATATTTTAGAGATTGGACCAATTGAACATTTTGCAAACCCTATAGCCATTTTCTTAATTTGAACTCCATATAGATCATTTTTAATTTTTGATTTTTTATGTTTTTTAATTGTTTTATATTAAAAAAATTTAGAATTAATATACTAAATAAATAAATTAACTGAATATGTATATAAAACAATTTAACTTTAGCCCATAAGCCTAAGTTTTTTTTATTGTGTGTTGTGTATTAAACTGAATATGTACATAAAAAAAGATGCAACTCATTGATCGGACAAGTTTCAAATAGATGAAATTAGATAATTCCACGGTTTTGGATCAAGTTTGTAGGGTCTATCTATTAAACTGAGTATTTTAGAAAAATCAAAAGATATTGGCAGTAGTGAGATTGTGTAAAAAACAGATAGCTGACTGAGTGAGGGAAGAAGAAAACAGAGGAAGCAGCTGAAATTTTTTTGGAACAATTAGACCGGCAAATAACGAGGAAGAAGTCAAATTGAGAATAATAGCAACACTTTTATGACGAGTTCGGAATTATCTCAAATTTGATAATCTAATTAAAAATTACATTTTAAATCAAAGTAGGATAAATAATTAATCTCTGCCTTTGGCAATGATACACGAGTGGCCAACCAAACTAGCCCAATTGATTGCACTGTAATGTAATCAAATACAACAGAAATCACAAATACATATAAACTCACGAATTTAAATCAATTCATTAATAACTTGACATGTTTTGAGGTTATATTTGGTTGTTGTTGGAGTTATTCTTCTTTAGTTACAGCAAACGATGATGTGATAGAAGAAATTCCAGAACTAATGAATCCGATGAAAAGGAAACCAGCTGAGACAAAGGCCATGCTATAAAATTCATCATACTTCGATCGAACATCGTTTGAAATTCCTTTGTTACCATCTGAAAGTGTCTTAAGATCTGTAGTTACTCCGAAGGCCGCACCAACTGCAGTTGCTAATATGGACAATATGACCTGTCCAAAACTACTTTCACTTATTAACTCAAATGAAATCTACTTTTACTTATTAATTAATATATATATATATATATATTGAGAATACAGAAATTGATTACAGAATCGAACACAACTAATTTATATGAGATGGGTTTTTTTTTTTTTTTCCATAAACTGTAAATACTCAAATGAGAGTTATGTCTGATTTTTTTTTTTATATTGGATCAACTAATCTGGCAGACCAATCAAAGCTATGTCGAGCTTTTTTTATGATAACTCGGTGTCCAGCCTATTAGATCGACTAATCTGGTAGATCAATCACATCTAGGGCAAGACAGAAGTCCCATATGACTAATTCTAAGAAAATGTTTACATCTAAGAGGTTTCAAACTTGAGACAATACACCCTTAAATCCCAAACTTTGACCACTAGACTAACTTCTCAAGGTTAAGTTATGTTGTATGTCTAATTTTATGATTGAAATCTAGCCACATCGAGGAGTTGGCTCATCAAATTCAAAGTTTATAAAATCTTGTTTAATAAAAGAAACTATAGTGAACAATGCAGAATAATAGTTTATAAAGAAAATTATATATATATATATATAAACTAAACTCAACCACATGCACATTAGTTATGGAGTGTCTAAATTGACACCAACATGAGTTGAAATGAAATAATAGCAATAAAATTTTGTGATTACATTGGTCCAATCCTGGATATTATTTATTTATTTATTTAACGATAAATCAAATTATTTACATAATTTGATTTCTTTTTTCTTCTCTTTTTTTTTTTTTATATTTTATTTTTCTTAAATGATCTACACAAACAAATGTAAAAAATGAGCGACTCAAATTATCTTAACATGCCCTATTGAGCATCCAAAAAGCTAGACTAGATCGGTCTAGTCACAAGCCCAACTGCAAAGATGTTTCCTATCATAAAAATTATATTTTAGCCCCATACAAAGTTGAGAAATTATTAAAGAAACCAATGTGTGTGTTTGGTTTGAGTTGTTTGGATTAAATTTTTTGAGAATTAAGTTTTTTGTTTTTCATGTTTTTTTTTTTTTTTGTTTTTAGTGAATATTTTTAAAATTTTAAATATTTTTTTTTTTACTTTTTTAGATACAGTACTTGAATGTATCTAAAAAGTAATAAAAAAATATTTTAAAAAATTAATAAATACATAAAAATATAAAAAAATATATTGAATTCTAGTATTTTTTTTGTATTTTTGGTATTAGGTGAATTTTTAAAAGATTTTTTTCACAAAAATTATACTTTTTATGTGTATTTATGTTAGGCGTGTATAAAAATGTTATTAAAAAAATTGCTTAAAATATTTAAAAAATTCAGTAAAAACAAAAAAAAAGGGGAAATTTGGCTATAAATCCCTTTTACCTTCCTTTCATTGTTAAAAAGACTAAGAAAAAAATTAAATTTTCTAAACCCTTCATAATTATAAAATCTTGCATAAAGGACAAAATTTATTATTTAAATATTTTTTCAGACTATTATACCCTCAACTAAATCTTCCCACCTTCTCCACCCACTCTCTCTCCACCTTCTTGGTCTCTATGACTCTGGCCAGCCAAAATCGAGTTCATCTAAGCCTAAGATTCATTCAATCTTTGACCTAGAACACTGACCTGGTTCAAGCAATCACAATCTGACCTGTGTATTTGAATTGAAGCTTAGTTTGAAGCTTTAATCTAATTTGCGTCTGTTAAGAAACCAAGGACTTCATCGCAAAATTGATCCGATTCGACAATCAACCCGAATTCAAGCTTCTGGAACTATGGTTCAAAATTGCAAACTGTAAAACAGGAGAGAGAATAGGCACTTTTATACAGAGTAAAATTTTACTTTTATACAGAGTAAAATTTTACTTTTATACAGAGTAAAATTTTACTTTTATACAGAGTAAAATTTTACTTTTATACAGAGTAAAATTTTACTTTTATACAGAGTAAAATTTTACTTTTATACAGAGTAAAATTTTACTTTTATACAGAGTAAAATTTTACTTTTATACAGAGTAAAATTTTACTTTTATACAGAGTAAAATTTTACTTTTATACAGAGTAAAATTTTACTTTTATACAGAGTAAAATTTTACTTTTATACAGAGTAAAATTTTACTTTTATACAGAGTAAAATTTTACTTTTATACAGAGTAAAATTTTACTTTTATACAGAGTAAAATTTTACTTTTATACAGAGTAAAATTTTACTTTTATACAGAGTAAAATTTTACTTTTATACAGAGTAAAATTTTACTTTTATACAGAGTAAAATTTTACTTTTATACAGAGTAAAATTTTACTTTTATACAGAGTAAAGTTTTACTTTCATACAGAGTAAGTAAAATTTTACTTTTATACAGAGTAAAATTTTACTTTCATACAGAGTAAAATTTTACTTTTAGTTTCAGAAGGTAAAATTTTACTTTTATACAGAGTAAAATTTTACTTTCATACAGAGTAAAATTTTACTTTTAGTTTCAGAAGGTAAAATTTTACTTTTATACAGAGTAAAATTTTACTTTTAGTTTCAGAAGGTAAAATTTTACTTTTATACAGAGTAAAATTTTACTTTCATACAGAGTAAAATTTTACTTTTAGTTTCATAATGTAAAATTTTACTTTCATATATATAGTGAAGATGACTTAATAGGAGGGTTGATAGATATGAGGGTAATATGTAAAAGAAACAAGTTTTAAAATATTAGGGGGTTTTGAAAGTACTTATATAATTCTTGTCATTTTGAAAGACAAATTAGATAGTGAGGGGGCTATCACCAAATCCCCCCAAAAAAAAAACACGGAAAACAAGAAAGTAGAATTTTCTAAAAAGTGTTTTTGGAAAATTAAAGACAAACAAAGTGAATATTTTAGCTCTCAAAATCTATATAATCTTTTTATGGTGCTCCAAAATTTAAATATATGATTTCATATTGGCTCCCAAATTTCAAAAAAATATTTCTCATAAAATTTGGAATATATATGTATATATAATAAGCATTCTGACCCTTCAATCTATGTAAACTTTGTTTGAGCCTGCAAAATCTGAACAATTTTACATTGACACCCCGTTGCAAAATTGCTGGGTGCACCTCCACAATTAGAAGATTCATAAACAAATGATAGGTTGAAAGGGTAGCTGACCTTGTCTCCATAGAACTCAAACAGGAGAAATTTAGTGTTGTTTATGATTCTTTTCCCTCTTATTGCATAGTAGGCTGCAAATGGAGTCTGCAACAAGTTGTAGGCAAGCCCCACTATTATACTAACAAGCATGTACCTGCCATTAGAGATTATCCAACCTACAATATTAGAGAGAGAGAAAGAAAATCTATATATAATTATGAGAAAATTACATGTGGTTTCTCTGTTGTGTCAATTTGATATTTGTAATTCAAATTGCATTAAATTTCATTCTTGAATTTTTCACTTTATATAAATATAGTCCAACTGCTAACACCCCTTCAAAAAATAGACTAAAATCAATGAGTGAAATAGTTCACTCAATCTCTTCAAAATGATTGAGGGCTAGTTTTACTCTTAAAATTTTGATATTATGCTAACTTAATCTAATTGATAAGGCTAGTTTAAGAAGTGAATTGAAATCAATAAGTAAAATGTTTCATTCACTTTTCTTAAAATGATTAAGGGGTTAGTGAGAAATTTAAAATGATTTATTCTATTTTGAATAGACTATTTTGCTCTTGATTTATGTCTAAAATTTTAACTAATATTATTAATTGGACCAAATTACATAATGTAATAAATTGAAGGACAAACTTGAATTTTCCATAGTTGTGTGTGTATTATATATATATAGAGAGAGAGAGAGTGTGTATTATATATATATATATATATATATATAGAGAGAGAGAGAGAGAGAGAGAGAGAGAGAGAGAGAGAGAGAGAGAGAGTGATATTATTTGAGAGAGAGAGAGAGAGAGAGAGAGAGAGAGAGAGAGAGAGAGAGAGAGAGATGTATTGCATACTGATAGCTTCCAATTTTCTTGGTAATCAATGAAATACACTGCGAGCCACCAAACCCAGATGGACGGTTGTTCTCATGATGCAGTGATATTACTATGAAATCAAAGGTCACAATTCTAGCAATACAGTGGATTTTTGGACACTTTTGAGGCCTTAGCTTGAGGCACATCAGATTGTGGCCGCATTTTCCCCCAAAACTATACTTTGATTGGGAAATATATTTTGCTATCCTGCTTATATAGGAATATATTTTTGTCCTTTAATTAACCAATCCAATTAAACTTTAGTTATTTGGAAGATACTTTCAAAGTTATTAATACTTGATTGAGATTACTAGAACTTTTTATATCAATTTGAGAATTTTACAAATGTTGAGTATTAGACAGATTTAACTTTAATTTCAAAGAAATATGTCAAAGGCTTCTTTGTGTTGAGTAGTATGAATACAGATAAGTATTAGGCCCTTGTTTTGAAGTATAGAGAGGGTGGGATGGGGTTAGGATAGATGTGGAACCCATTTAATGTTCTATTTGTTTTGTAATTTGGGGAAGGAATTCATAAGCCGAGGGCTTTAGATGGGCCTTGCATATTGGGATTCATATCTGCCTAACACTTGGTATTGAAATTAGTCCATTGGCATTAGGGGAGCGATTTACTTGTTTACCCCATCGTTGCCCTAGCTCATCCTTGGAAGCAGAAGCAGCAGCAGCAGCAGCAACAGGAGGAGAAAGCAAGAGAGCTCTCCTTTAGATTTTCAATCTGAAAAGATGCTCAAATTCTTATTTTGATTGCAGAGATTTTATTAATAACATATCCACCAACTCTTCTCTGTTTAGATTTGTCTTCATCATTATTTCTTCTTATTTATTTCTTCTTCTTCTATCTGGGTGGGATATGTGTGTGAAAACAAAAATAATAAATAAATGAAAGAGATGAAGTAGAAATGATGCTGCTTGTTTTGGCCATTTTCTGTTATTATGGAAGTGGAAGAGAGATCATTTGTGTTTTGTTTTTGTTTTCTTTTTCCCTCTTTGTATTTAATGATATTTGATTAGTTTTGATTTTGTTCTTGATAATTGGATCAATATATTATGTTTTTATCCATATCAATTTAAATCTATCTCTTAAGAGGCTCAAAATGATGTTAAACAGATATTTCAAGACCAAACAGCCCAAAATAGATAGCAAAATAACTCCAGAACTCCAGAAAAAGTTGGGCAGCTGTAGAAAGGCTTTTGGCCGCAAGTACAGGTCCTTTGACGGCCAGTAGATATATTGGGCCAGCCGTACAGGTCTATATTGGCCGGTACGCGATATACAGTATTATCGTAGGCTGGACAGGTTTTGGCCAAGCAGAGAGCAGATCTTTTGCACGCCCATACCTAAACTTGGGCCTGGAAAGCATAACGGTCTTCAATTTTGTGCAAAACTTAACACAGATATAGTTTGGAATTCTTTTTAATATTACCAAAAACAAAAAAGAGAGAAAGAAGGTAATTGAATAAAATTTTATTGATAGTTGGATATTATATTCAAAACCTAAAAATAAAAATAACGTTGACTTAAAAAATTTGATAATTGGATTCTTTAAAATATATTTTTTTTTTTTTTAAAACAGAAGAAGAATAACATTGAGTAAAATTTTTATTTTTTAGTTGGTATATAGTCCATTTGATAATAATGCAAAAAGCAATATTGTGAAATATTCACATGGTTAATCACAATCGCTTATCTCTCAAAACAAACAGTGAACTATTAGCTAGTCATTGGTTATCAAAAAATACATTTTTAATATTAATCCCTTCACTAGCGGTCCCCTCTCCTAAAGTCTCTCATTAATTAATTCATCCATTCTACCTCTAAAAACAACAAAGCCATAGATTCTAATTTTTTTTCTACTCAAATAAGGAAAACTTGGGTATAATGAAGAGGACTATTTTGCGACGGACATCTGCCGTCAAAAAAGTCACCTTTTACTTTTTTTTTTTTTTTTTTTTTTTTGGCGAACTGGCGCAAGAAATTGCCCACTATCGTCTCAAAAAAGCAGAGTATTTGCGAAAACGGCAAACAACTCTGTAATCCGGTCCGCAGAATACTTCTCATTTTTGATGATCGGCAAATAGTGCTGTCGCAATGGCTCTGCTTTTTGAGCGGCAATGATGCCCGTCGGCAAATTACTCTGCTTTTTTGTTACAGACGGCATGTTTCTGCGTCGGCAAAAAGGTGACTTTCCGTGTTTTTTTTTTAGTGAATATTTATTAAAATTTTAAATTATTTTTTAAGATGTACTTACTCTAGATGGTTCTACAAAATGAAAAAATGTATGAGAAAATATTTTTAAAGAAAATTAATAATACATAAAAATACAAAAAAAAATGATTTGATATTATTGTATTTTTAAGATTTAGTGATTTTTAAAATGATTTTTTTTAAACAAATATTTTTTTTGAATTTGTTAGGTGTTCTATGTTTAGGGTGTGTCAAAAGATTTTAAAAAATAAGCTTAAAATATTTTAAAAAAAAAAATTCAGTAAAAACAATATAACACGGAAACAAAAGTTTAAATTTTTTCTTCCAACAAGAGTTTTTGGAAAATAACTGAGCATAGTGATTGGTAATTTTGAGGATAGCTTCATATATATACAGTCACAAAATGCTTTGAATAATTAACGTATTTTCTGTTTCTGTCGGCAGAGAAAAAAAAAATTAAAAGAAAAAACATGTCGTCTTAAACTACTTTTGATATACTTTCTCTTTTCTTTTATCGTTTTTCATCTTCCCCGTCTCTCTGTCTTCTGTCCTACTTCTCTCATCTCTTTCACTTTAATCACTTTCTCTTTTTTTTTTTTCTTTTTTCTATTCTTGGTGGCCCTGTTTTTTCCTCTTCTATGTTTCTCGTTCAACGTCGTCTGTGGTCTTC